CAGAGAAATAGCGATAACAAACTTTCACTATCAAAATCCAAGATGGCTGCCTGTCGGCCATGTTGTTTATCCGATCAGTCTCAAAAGTTGCCCTGCACCGCTAAAGACCAAGGGGAACCTACATATAAAATTTGAGAAAGATCCCTCTGGTACTTCTTGAGAAATACCGATAACTAGAATTGTTTAAGGATGACGGACAGACCACGGACCACGGACGCAGGGTGATTTGAATAGCCCACCATCAGATGATGGTGGGCTAATAAAGTTGACCTTTCCACACTTGTCTGTCATATCTTAAGTTTTCAGAGGTCATTTTACTGTTGACACTTGGGTCAGCAACCAGGCAGTGTTATCACGGAAACCTTATCTTATTTCATTGATAATTAATACATTTATCAGTGGCTAACCTAATCAACAGAACTGCTGTTAAATCATACTGGCTAGTCATCCCGATAAGCTTGACCTCAACCAGAACCAGACAGTTGAGCTTGGTAAACAACCTCTGTTTGCTGTTACTAGGTACAGGTTTTAAGCAACTGGGATATATGAACAAAACAATCTCTCATATTCTTCCAAAACAGACAGCTATGTGACATGTGTACTGCAGGTAATTTATTTATCCAGATCCATTTGAGAACAAACTGACTTCTTTATATAATTGATGATAAATTTCTTCTGTATTTTGTTTTACCTATTTGAACATAAATTACCTGACACTGATATCTGTCAGTGCCCATCAGCATATTACAATAGCCTTGGGAAACAGCTTTTAGAACATACATGTATTACATATAAAAAATGAACCTGTATGACAATTACGGCAACAAAACAGCTATATATAGATGGTTTGATTATCATTATAGCAGTGCTCCACCTAGCTATGTATTTAGTATCAACAGTTAGTGTATCACAACGATGTAAAGAATAGTTACGTTGTAAAAGAATTGAAAAATGGCTTATTTGAAATTCAGAAACTTGTAATTTATTTTACCGGTCTTTGAGGGACAGTATCTGTTCCATTTACCCATCCTCAACTCATCAAAAATAGGACAAGTACCTGTCACAACATACTTAAGTTTACAGAGTTCAAATGATTCGGACTTTCAAACCAACCTGGTCTGAATACCTAACCAAACAGCACATACTGACTGCCCTAATGCACTGACTTTTATATGGAATAATAAAGTAAATCTATAACATGTGCTGGGATCAATGTGAAGTGTTATTGTTGCTGAGTGGTGAGGTTGATTTGTCAGCTGTTGCTTAGGGTTCTTATTCTAGCCGTTGTTAAATGTAGGTACACCATGGCCAGAACCCACAAAAGAATAGCCTGTCTTCGTAATAGTTATTTTTGACACGGCAAAATGTTGGGAATGCAATAAATATCTTTGTTACATCATCACATCCATGTTTTGGAAAGATAGAAATAGCTACAACACAAAACAAACACACATATAAAACATAACAGCTAGCATTAACTACGAAGGCCATAAAATCAAATCTCCCGAGCTGTGAACAGGATATCATGGATATCATCATAACAACCGATTGACAAAACAAGGTGTACACAGACAAAACAATGTGTACACGGACAAACAGCGACTTTATTGATACCCAGTAAAACAAGAGGCCAAGAGGGCCTGTATTGCTCACCTGGATAATAAAGCAACCATGGGAAATTATTATTGTTACATAAAATCCAACCAATGGTTCAGAAGAAGAAGGATTTTAAAGATTTAAACCTCAAATTCCCCTATTGGGCCCCGCAACTCTGCACCCAGAAGGGCCACACCCTCAGTTTATGAGATTTAGTCTCCTTTGCCCAAGGATGCTCCAGGTCAAATGTGGATAACATCCCTCCAATAGTACAGAAGGAGAAGGATTCTAACAATTTTTTACATAAAATTCTCATTTTGAGCACTGCCCCTCTGCATCCAGAGGGGACACACACAATTTTTATACAAAACAAAATCTCCTTTGCCCGAGGATGCTCCAGGCCAAATTTGGATAAAATCCCTCCAATGATACAGAAGGAGACGGAGTTTTAAGATTTAAACCTCAAATTCCTCTTTCGAGCCCCGCTCCCTACACGCAAAGTGGCCAACCCTATCTTTAATACAAAATTGAGTCATCTTGGCCCAAAGATGATCAAGACAAAACAAGGATAAAATCCCTTTATCCCTATGGAAGGAGAAGGATTTCAAAGGTTTTACCTCTATTTCCCCTATTCGACCCCGCCCCTCTGCCCTCATGGGTTTCAAACTCACAGTTTATACAAAATTGAGTCCCCTTGGCCCAAGGATACTCCAGGCTAAATTAGGATAAAATGCCTTTATCCTCAATTTTGTATAAATGGTGGGTGTGGCCCCCCTGGGGGTAGAGTGGCGGGGCCCAATAGGGGAAATAGAGGTAAAATCTTGAAATGCCTTCTAGGATTTTACCTCTATTTCCCCTATTGGGCCCCGCCACTCTACCCCCAGGGGGGCCACACCCACCATTTATACAAAATTGAGTCCCCTTGCAAAAAAGATGCTCAAGACCAAATTGGGATAAAATCCTTAATCCCTATGGTAGAAGAAGGATTTTATAGGTTTACCTCTATTTCCCCTATTTGGCCCCACCCCTCTGCCCCCAGGGGAGCCACACCAAATTTAGTGAAAATCTTCTGGGCCGTTCAGGACTAGTAGTGTTTTAAAGGAAAAGATGACGGACGGAATACGGACGCCACATATCATTAATCAAGTTGTCTGTGAAATCTTGAAACAAGAGGCCCAGAGGGCCTGTATCGCTCACCTGGATATTTGAGCAATCATGGGAAAATATTCTCAATAAAAATACTTACGCAAAATTTCCATATATTGAGACTCCAAGGAGGCTTAGGAACGCTCCAGACTAAATGAAACTTTATACTACTCTATCCCAGCATGCTACTGGTCAAATAATATTTCCCAGGGCCTCCTGGTATTGCTGAAGATGTTGTTGAAAGATATTTACATATCTGACCTAATTTATTTGACAAACCTTCATATAACTCTGTCCCAGATACCTACTGGTCAAGTATCAATTCTCTAGGCCTCTTGGTTATTCAGAAGAAGATGTTTCAAGGTTTTTAACACTTTTTATCCCTGTGACCTTGAAAGTAGATAAAGGTTATTTATTTGAGGAACCTTTATAGCACTCTGGCCCAGGCACCTACTGGCCCCGTATCAGTACACTAGGCCTCTTGGTTATTCTAAAGAAGATGTATAAAAGTTATCAACACATTCGACCTTTGAGATCCTTAAAGTAGGTCAAGGTAACTTATTTGAGGAAAGTTTATAGCACTCTGTCCCAGGTACCTACTGATCAAGTATCATTAGTCTGGGCCTCCTGGTTATTCAGGAGAAGATGTTTTAAGGTTTTTAACACTTTTAACCCTGTGACCTTGAAAGTAAGTCAAGGTCATTTATTTGAGAAAAAATAATATATCACTCTGCCCAAGGTACCTTCTGCTAAATATCAATACTCTAGACCTCTTGGTTATTCAAAAGAAAATGTTTATGGGTTTTAAACACATTTTAACCCTTGCGACCTTGAAATATCCTGCAATAAGCCCAGGTGCTCACACATAATCTGTAGACTCAACATAGGGGAATGGCTTATTATTATTGGTCAATGGAGTAGCGTTTGTGAGCATTTGTACTGAGCTGAAATAGATAAGGGTGGGCTTATTACCAGGCATTTTTTTAATTTAAAATAAGAAGAGAATGCATGTCTAAAATTTCAATAAATATTTTCTAGTCAAAATCAATTTAAAATTTGTGAAACTTATAGAGTGGATGGATGTGTTGTAAACACTATCCAATACCTACACTAAAGCATCCTTGATGTTTTTTAAATCACATTTCTGTAAAACCCAATAAGCCTTAATGATTTAATGGACACATTTGTTAACGCAACTTTTGTATTTTGTATGTACATTTGTTTGAGACTGAAAATATTAAAACTTGAACTTCACAACTATTAGACAACTTAGACAAATGCAGAAATTATTCAATTCTCTCTACAAAAAAAACCCATATAGTTAACTCACGAGGTGATCATTCTTATTATGTCAGCTACAAATTCTATGTATGTTGACATTTGACAGTAAAAAATATCAGGCATGCAGCTGATATAATATGTTACAAGATTGAAGGACCACTGTGTCTGTGAAATACTGAGTTTACACCAAGTCCTACTGTTTCTATGCCTACTGATGGTCTCGGCACAAACCTGACAAGTAAGTCAGGTCCTTGAGGACAGTGATACTAAATAACTTAGATAATGTTCTTTTGCTTGCTTTAACAATATAAATCATTACCTACCCTCATCCAACAAACTCACTATTGTACACTGTTACTACTGAGTATAGCTGACAGCAACTTTTCTTTCTTAAACATATTTTTCCATTTAATACTGAACTCAATGTTATTACTGGGTTTATACATTTCAAAGTTAGTTAAGACTGAATATTTCACATTTCTGCAAAATTTTGAAACAATTTTGTTTTCTCATGACTTTTTAGAATTATGGGCCCAATACTACTACTGTTAAGTCTTACGTCTTACACATGTATGCAGTGGATACTTTGTGAGTGAATGCTGTGTTCACAATATAACCCTTAATAATAATAATATACAACATTTGATATAGCGCCCTATCTAGCTAGAATAAGCCACTCTAAAGTGCTTTACAGTACATAGATATACAATTTATACAATTAATACAATTGTCTACAAGGGTTCTTTTTATCAAAGGTTTGAACTTAATATAAATAGTGTAGTGTAACTGTGTGAAATAGAAACAAAGTGAGTTTGGTCCCGGTGTAACATAGCTCTTGTTTGACCCTTTGAGGCCACATGAGCTCATCACTAGTTAAATAAGGTATCATGCATAAACATGAGTTTCGTGTCTAAAAAAGAAACACAACTTTACAACATTTACAAACAAAGGGAAACAACTCCTAATTTCGTACTTACCAGTAGTTCCATGAGCAGTGAGAAGATCATCTTGAGTTCGTTGGAGGGACCGTTCGTGTACTGGAGCTGCCACAAACAATCACAGGCAATTAACTTCATTGTTAAATGTATTCAATAATAAACCTTTTATCTAACAATGGAAGACAAGTTGTTGTTTTTTCATTTTGTTACACATGCACACAATTTCCATTATATTGGAAAATTCTTAAAATAACAATGAGGTCAGTTTACAATTTAACTTAATAATTCATTATTAAAATGGAAAAAAATATCAAATTTTAATTGCCATAAAATTACAAGTTGTTTAAGGATGAGAGTACCACTGTACAGAATTGTATAAATAAACCTGAAGAGTTCTTTGAATTTACATCACTTAGAATGACATGCACTGATCTGCTAGTAATTGACATATTTTCTTATCACTTTATTTGTCCTTGGTTAAAAATCACCTTAACATTTCTTTTTTTTTTATCATGTATAAGCAGAGAAACAAATTCACTTGGAAAAAGGCCAGGATTTGAACTCACAAAACGACATGTAAGTTATACTTACCATGAGTTGTTTGAGAACATTGACTGTACATGTTGTACTTACCATTAGTTGTTTGAGAACATCGACTGTACATGTTATACTTCCCATGAGTTGTTTGAAAACATTGACTGTACATGTTATGCTTCCCATGAATTGTTTGAAAACATTGACTTTACATGTTATACTTACCATGTGTTGTTTGAGAACATTGACTGTACAAGTTGTACTTACCATTAGTTGTTTGAGAACATTGACTGAACATGTTGTACTTACCATTAGTTGTTTGAGAACATTGACTGTGCCTGTTATACTTACCATGAGTTGTTTGAGAACATTGACTGTACATGTTGTACTTACCATTAGTTGTTTGAGAACATTGACTGTACATGTTATACTTACCATGAGTTGTTTGAGAACATTGACTGTGCATGTTATACTTACCATGAGTTGTTTGAGAACTGTGTCACTGAAGGTTTGGTTACAGAAACTGCAGTAGATGATCATGTCCGACACGTGGTGAGACATGTTACTGATCTCTCGTATAGCCTGTACCACCTACAAATAAAGGATAACCACCGAGGGATAACAAATATACTATGGTACAAACAGGGTTTCTCCCTAATAGCCTGTACCACCTACAAATATAGGATAACCACCGAGGGATAACAAATGTACTATGATACATACAAGGTTTCTCTCTAATAGCCTGTACCACCTACAAATATAGGATAACCACCGAGGGATAACAAATGTACTATGGTACATACAGGGTTTCTCCCTAAAAGCCTGTACCACGTTCACCTACAAATATAGGATAACCACCGAGGGATAACAAATGTACTATGGTACGTACAGGGTTTCTCCCTTAAAGCCTGTACCACCTACAAATATAGGATACCCACCGAGGGATAACAAATGTACTATGGTACGTACAGGGTTTCTCCCTAAAAGCCTGTACCACCTACAAACATAGGATAACCACCGAGGGATAACAAATGTACTATGGTACATACAGGATTTCTCTCTAATAGCCTGTACCACCTACAAATATAGGATACCCACCGAGGGATAACAAATGTACTATGGTACATACAGGGTTTCTCCCTAAAAGCCTGTATCACGTTCACCTACAAATATAGGATAACCACCGAGGGATAACAAATGTATTATGGTACATACAGGGTTTCTGCCTAAAAGCCTGTATCACGTTCACCTACAAATATAGGATAACCACCGAGGAATAACAAATGTACTATGGTACGTACAGGGTTTCTAACTTATAGCCTGTACCACCTACAAATATAGGATAACCACCGAGGGATAACAAATGTACTATGGTACATACAGGGTTTCTCCCTAAAAGCCTNTACGGTAAACCTTCGGTCAGTTCGAACAAAATTAAATAAATATTGATGAACCTGTTCGGATTATACAAAATTATGCTTCAGAAAATAAGCGTGAGTTCGAACTATCGGCAAAAATTTCGGCAAAGTGCAAATCAAGTCACAAACATATACCCGACATATTTTCTTCACCGGAGTATACCTCTATATATCCAATGTAAGGTCGATACGTAACAACGACGGCCTGGCATAGAACAATGGCACATTTATAAATGGGTAAAATGATAGTATATTATTTAATTCAATGTTAATTGATCATTAAACTTTCTTCATTTCGTGATAATTATGATCGTTATTGCGAAGCAGAGGCCCTTGTGTAGGCCCCGAAACAGTACACGTTTCATTTGTGACACAAAAGTTAAGACTACCTAGCTTGTATCAGAGACCTAAATATTGAGTCTCTGCGTGGTTAGGTTTTGTTATTTTCGTAATGAATGGTTCGTTTAATAAATTGAAAACAGTCTACATAGCCTGTTGTGTTTACAAAGCGCTACTGTACAGTAAATATAGGTCTATATGTTAGTAAAATTAGGTCAGAACATCAACATGTCTGCTTTAAATTATAAGTGATATAGTCCTAATACCTACCAAACTTATTTGACACCTTCAAAATTACCCATCGCTAATTGGGACACCTGTGGATTGTCTGGGCTTTGACATGAATGCTAATCACGTCACTCACCATGGCTGGGCGGCCGATTCCTACCGCGACATCGTGTCCTGCCCTACCTGGTGTGAGGGCACACGTTTACAGGTAATACCTTGATTGGCAATAATTAAGGGGTGACTGGTCGCAATAAAATAATCAAAATGCTTAGTTAACACTGTATTTGACAACACACGGGCGATTTCTTAGCGTATAGCCATACAGCGTGACATCAGTTCGCACTGATCGCATGTTATTTATACATTGTCGGGGCCTAAGTTGAAATTGGCTGTCTCGTGCACGATGTGTTTTTCAAACAATGTAAAAAAAATGAATCAACGCTAAAATCTGTGACATATATTTATGGTTTGTCTGTCACAGCTGTACTGCAATGCTCACACATACAACCCATTACCCTAAACGTGTCTGTTGATCAAAGTATTGGCATTTTTCCGGTGCCGATCGCCGCGAGCTTTCAATGGAGTTTGCCGAAAAAAAATCTTACTTTACGTTTTCATTTGACAAGTTCGGACTATCCGAAATAGGGTCAATCAGAATTTGAACTATCACTAGCTAGAAAATTATTGTTTTTATTGAAAAAAATACGTGTTCGAACTATCCGCCGATTCAAACTGACCGAAGGTTTACCGTAACCACCTAGAGATAACAAATGTACAATGGTACGTACAGGGTTTCTCACTTATAGCCTGTACCACCTACAATAATAATACAATGTAATCATCTTTGTCCTAACAGAGAGCTCAACACAATTTATTTGAAAATCAACGTAACAAAACCCTGTGTGAAATCAAAGGGAGATAAATCAACACTACACACAGTACAGGTAATTTGTTTATGGTATAAAAATAACATTATTAGACTCACCTCACGAAGATAGCGGACAGACTCTGCCCCGATCACATACTTCTCCATCTCTGGCGACATCTTCAGTAACTTTGCCGGGTGAACACCAGATTGTGGTTTATAAGGCTTATAGTCTCCTATTTCTGAAACAACACAATGTCAAGGTCACAAGTTTACAATACCTTTTTTTGTGACGAAGATGTTTGAGATATGGGAGTGCCATGATGAGTAGACACTGCTAAAGTGTGTAACATTAAACAGTAATTATTAACTTGTTAACTGTAGATGTCCTGTACTGTTGTCGTCACATTATTACTGCTCCGTAATCACACAACATACAACATTCCAACAATGGTGGCTCTAACCAACAGAAAATTCATGTATATTTGTACCAAAATGCCGCAATCTTTAGTTTCCAAAAAGTTTAGTTTCCTTCATTAAGAACGTTAATTATAATTTTACACTATATCTGTGTAACCATAACTGACCTTATGTGTAGATGGACAATAAGGAATCCTACATACCTAACTGACCTTATGTGTAGATGGACCATAAGGAATCCTACATACCTAACTGACATTATGTGTAGATGGACCATAAGGAATCCTACATACCTAACTGACATTATGTGTAGATGGACCATAAGGAATCCTACATACCTAACTGCCCTTATGTGTAGATGGACAATAAGGAATCCTACATATCTAACTGACCTTATGTGTAGATGGACAATAAGGAATCCTAAATGCCTAACTGACCTTATGTGTAGATGGACAATAAGGAATCCTACATATCTAACTGATCTTATGGGTAGATGGACAATAAGGAATCCTAAATGCCTAACCGTCCTTATGTGTAGATGGACAATAAGGAATCCTACATATCTAACTGATCTTATGTGTAGATGGACAATAAGGAATCCTAAATGCCTAACTGACCTTATGTGTAGATGGACCATAAGGAATCCTACATACCTAACTGACCTTATGTGTAGATGGACCATAAGGAATCCTACACACCTAACTGACCTTATGTGTAGATGGACAATAAGGAATCTGAAATACCTAACTGACCTTATGTGTAGATGGACAATAAGGAATCCTACATATCTAACTGATCTTATGTGTAGATGGACAATAACGAATCCTACATACCTAAATGTCCTTATGTATACATGGACAACAAAGAATTCTACACTCCCAAAAGACCTTATGTGTAGAGGGACAATAAGGAATCCTAAATACCTAACTGATCTTATGGGTAGATGGACAATAATGAATCCTACATACCTAAATGACATTATGTGTAGATGGACAACAAGGAATCCTACATATCTAACTGTTCTTATGTGTAGATGGACCATAAGGAATCATACACACCTAACTGACATTATGTGTAGATGGACAGTAAGGAATCCTACATGCCTAACTGACCTTATGCGTAGATGGACAATAAGAAATCCTACATACCTAAATGGCCTTATGTGTAGATGGCCAATAAGGACTCTGAAATCCCTAACTGACCTTATGTGTAGATGGACAATATGGAATCCTACATATCTAACTGATCTTATGTGTAGATGGACAATAACGAATCCTACATACCTTCTGTATGGTAGTGGGAGACATCACAGTTTAGGATCAGTATTGCTAAGGTTGAATGTAGATTGCCAAATTCGCGTGACTGTATGGAGCTCCATCTCCGTGTTGACGACTCCTGTAAAGTAAAGGGTCATCTTCACATCAGATATTCAACACGACACAAAGACGGGGAACTAAAATACCTAATACCAAGGGGAAGCATATACAGGTTTTATTTACCAACAATTTGCAGGAAAAATACCTTCTTGTCTCAGTTACATGCCATTCTGATGCAGTGTAATACATTTTTTGTAGTATTCCTTGAAACAACTTTTGTTTTATGTTTAATCTAAATCTTTATCATGAAATTCGTAGAGATTACTCATCATTAGTGAAATTATAAAATCTTTACTGCACATTATTACAATCATAAGAATCCTGCAAAAAATATCACACTTCTATATTTTCCACACTTTTAATTTTACACTGATACAGCAATATTATTTAATTTTTAAAATATGTATATATTATACATTTAATGGTTTCCTCATTGAAAACCGTATATATTTTGCTTGTATCGCAAAACATATTATAAATTCACTCGTGCTTTGCACATGTGAAAACAACGGTATTCTGTCGCACTTGTGAAATATATATAGTATTCAACAGAAATCATTAAATATTCTCTATGTACAACTTACATGATCTTCCAGGTGCTGTTGTGACTGCCCGAGGAGAAAAGTGACTAGTCGGGGGAAGCCTCTTCTCAGAAACATGTGGGTACACGCCTTTGTGCCCTGTAACAAACAAATCACACCCATCAGTAGTGGAGGTGAGGTAGAGTGATGACCGCTGGAGACAGATCAAGGCTAGGTATCCGTCATCATACTCTCATGATAACATCTGGTAGTACATTACTCCCTAATCACCAGGGACAGGGGGTTTATAGCAGAAAATGAAAGAAACAGAATGAAAACTGTTACAAAATAACTGTAGTCTTGGTCTGTACTTACCAACTGTACATAGTGAAACAAGACCTGGAAGTATTGGCCTGTACTTACCAACTGTACATAGTGAAACAAGAACTGGAAGTATTGGTCTGTACTTACCAACTGTACATAGTGAAACAAGCCCTGGAAGTACTGGTCTGTACTTACCAACTGTACATGGGGAAACAAGACCTGGAAGTACTGGTCTGTACTGACCAAGTGTACATAGTGAAACAAGAACTGGAAGTATTGGCCTGTACTTACCAACTGTACATAGTGAAACAAGCCCTGGAAGTATTGGCCTGTACTTACCAACTGTACATAGTGAAACAAGAACTGGAAGTATTGGCCTGTACTTACCAACTGTACATAGTGAAACAAGACATGGAAGTACTGGTCTGTACTTACCAACTGTAGATAGTGAAACAAGAACTGGAAGTATTGGTCTGTACTTACCAACTGTACATAGTTAAACAAGACCTGGAAGTACTGGTCTGTACTTACCAACTGTACATAATGAAACAAGACCTGGAAGTACTGGTCTGTACTGACCAAGTGTACATAGTGAAACAAGAACTGGAAGTATTGGCCTGTACTTACCAACTGTACATAGTGAAACAAGAACTGGAAGTATTGGCCTGTACTTACCAACTGTACATAGTGAAACAAGCCCTGGAAGTACTGGTCTGTACTTACCAACTGTACATGGGGAAACAAGACCTGGAAGTACTGGTCTGTACTTAACAACTGTACATAGTGAAACAAGACCTGGAAGTATTGATCTGTACTTACCAACTGTACATAGTGAAACAAGATCTGGAAATATTGGTCTATACTTACCAACTGTACATAGTGAAACAAGAACTGGAAGTATTGGCCTGTACTTACCAACTGTACATAGTGAAACAAGACATGGAAGTACTGGTCTGTACTTACCAACTGTACATAATGAAACAAGACCTGGAAGTACTGGTCTGTACTGACCAAGTGTACATAGTGAAACAAGAACTGGAAGTATTGGCCTGTACTTACCAACTGTACATAGTGAAACAAGAACTGGAAGTATTGGCCTGTACTTACCAACTGTACATAGTGAAACAAGACCTGGAAGTACTGGGTGCAGTATTTACAATGGTCTATCACATCCTTGTTCAGCATCTGAAGCAGGTGCTCGAGGATTTCATCAAAGTTCTTTTGTGTCTGGAATAAAGATAGGAAGATAATTCAATTAAATTTATGTCCCTTTTCTTTCTCTTTATCCAAATGTGAAAAGTACAAGATGATAAAATTATAGTTTTAATGTCTAAAATATTTATTAACATACATATACTTTAGGATACATACCTTAGGATACATACCTTAGGATACATACTTTAGGATACATACCTTAGGATACATACCTTAGCCTTTTTTGTGCTAACTCAAAAGCACTAAATAATAAAACCAGTACACGTACATGTGATTGACTGGGACAACTCCAAAGTATTGGACAGAGAGAGCAATCTGTTCAAGCGGCAGATAAAGGAAGCCATCTGGATACACCACAGAGGGCCAATTCTAAATTGAGATGAGGGGGCTTATAGACTCTCCCACATCTATGACTAAGTAATAAACAAAGTGTAGCTGAATCGAGTAATTTCGGTACATATATAAAGTAGCCAAATTGACTTTGATTTGTGGACAACTCATACACATTTTACACCTTTGTGTGCATACGCTTCACTGGTCATTTGTCTGATGATGGTGACAGAGTACATACGCTTCACTGGTCATTTGTCTGATGATGGTGACAGTATACATATGCTTCACTGGTCATTTGTCTGATGATGGTGACAGTGTACATACGCTTCACTGGTCATTTGTCTGATGATGGTGACCGAGTACATACGCTTCACTGGTCATTTGTCTGATGAAGGTGACAGTGTACATATGCTTCACTGGTCATTGGTCTGATGATGGTGACAGTGCACATACGCTTCAGACAAATGACCAGTGAAGCATATGTACACTGTCACCTTCATAATAAACAAAGTGTAGCTGAATCGAGTAATTTCGGTACATATATAAAGTAGCCAAATTGACTTTGATTTGTGGACAACTCATACACATTTTACACCTTTGTGTGCATACGCTTCACTGGTCATTTGTCTGATGAAGGGGACAGTGTACATATGCTTCACTGGTCATTTGTCTGATGATGGTGACAGTGCACATACGCTTCACTGGTCATTTGTCTGATGATGGTGACAGTGTACATACGCTTCACTGGTCATTTGTCTGATGATGGTGACTGTGTACATACGCTTCACTGGTCATTTGTCTGATGAAGGGGACAGTGTACATATGCTTCACTGGTCATTTGTCTGATGATGGTGACAGTGTACATACGCTTCACTGGTCATCGAAACGTCACATAGAAACACTTATTGGTTGTGTGACGAGAAACTTTTCATAAATGTAAATGGTTGTTTTCCTATCTTTTCAATGAAATACATAACTGTATGCATATTGGAGTATCAGATCTCTTTCCATAAATTAGTATTCTGTTTTTAATATTTTAAAAAATTTAGACCAATTTTTTCCAAATCTTACTAATTTTTTAAGTACATTTCCCTGTACAAAAAACATGTATACAGGATTGACAATATTTATTTAATTTTGTTCGAACTGACCGAATGTTTACCTTATATGGCTCATATTCAAGACAGTCTTATTTTAAATCAGGTTTTTTTTCAAAGTTTTAGAGTATGATTAACACAAACTGAAAAATCTTACATTTTCACATTTAGATCAGTACATGTTTTAGGTATGGATACATTTCTATAAGTCATCCTAAACAGTTACTCTGATGAGAAACATTCTAACACGAGGCAAAGGTCACTGCACTCTCTATAAAGGGAGGTACAATATCTACACATATAAAAACAATGTCAGCCTTCACAGTCAAAAGTGCTAATTGAACTATTAAATCTTTATTTAAATACAAGTATTTTTGATTTTGAAATTTTTAATAATAAGCAGATTTATCTCATAAACAAACAAAGAAATTAAAATTGATGTTACCCAAACCTATATCACCAAACTTAAGGTATAGGTAATGTTGTACCGGTATATTACTGGTATTTATAACTGGTTCAAATCATCATTATCAACATATCAAAATGAGCTCTATTTTAAGATTTTAAAATATTGATCATTGTCATCAATAAATTCAAATTGATTATACAAAAGATTTATTGAATACAATTAGAGATTGAGATAAAATAGTACAAACTATAAAACAGAGGAATGTGTTAACATATAGTGAAGGACAGTCAACAAAACCCAATACAAATGTATACTGGCAGCACATCAGAATGTATAGAGCTACGCTGCCGTCAAAGATGATGAATGACAAATAAAAATGCGTAAAAAAAGCTAAAAGATGTGTACAATTGGTCATGTTACTTGATGTTAAGATATTTTAAATACCAGGCTAAGCTTAACACAGGAAAGGAAAATGTCTGTATAACACCACGCCCCCACAGCATTAGTGGAGGGGGCACTATGTCTGTGTATAAAACCAGGCCCCCGCAGCATTAGTGGAGGGGGCACTATGTCTGTGTACAACACCACGCCCCCGCAGCATTAGTGGAGGGGGCACTATGTCTGTGTATAAAACCACTCCCCGCAGCATTAGTGGAGGGGGCACTATGTCTGTGTATAACACCACAACCCGGCACCATTAGTGGAGGGGGCACTATGTCTGTGTATAAAACCAGGCCCCCGCAGCATTAGTGAAGGGGGCACTATGTCTGTGTACAACACCACGCCCCCGCAGCATTAGTGGAGGGGGCACTATGTCTGTGTATAAAACCACTCCCCGCAGCATTAGTGGAGGGGGCACTATGTCTGTGTATAACACCACAACCCGGCACCATTAGTGGAGGGGGCACTATGTCTGTGTATAAAACCAGGCCCCCGCAGCATTAGTGGAGGGGGCACTATGTCTGTGTATAACACCACAACCCCGCACCATTAGTGGAGGGGGCACTATGTCTGTGTATAAAACCAGGCCCCCGCAGCATTAGTGGAGGGGGCACTATGTCTGTGTATAACACCACAACCCCGCACCATTAGTGGAGGGGGCACTATGTCTGTGTATAACACCACGCCCCCGCAGCATTAGTGGAGGGGGCACTATGTCTGTGTATAACACCACAACCCCGCACCATTAGTGGAGGGGGCACTATGTCTGTGTATAACACCACGCCCCCGCAGCATTAGTGGAGGGGGCACTATGTCTGTGTATAACACCACAACCCCGCACCATTAGTGGAGGGGGCACTATGTCTGTGTATAACACCACGCCCCCGCAGCATTAGTGGAGGGGGCACTATGTCTGTGTATAACACCACAACCCCGCACCATTAGTGGAGGGGGCACTATGTCTGTGTATAACACCACGCCCCCGCAGCATTAGTGGAGGGGGCACTATGTCTGTGTATAACACCACAACCCCGCACCATTAGTGGAGGGGGCACTATGTCTGTGTATAACACCACGCCCCCGCAGCATTAGTGGAGGGGGCACTATGTCTGTGTATAACACCACAACCCCGCACCATTAGTGGAGGGGGCACTATGTCTGTGTATAACACCACGCCCCCACAGCATTAGCGGAGGGGGCACTATGTCTGTGTATAACACCACAACCCCGCAGCATTAGTGGAGGGGGCACTATGTCTGTGTATAACACCACACCCCCGCACCATTAGTGGAGGGGGCACTATGTCTGTGTATAACACCACGCCCCCGCAGCATTAGTGGAGGGGGCACTATGTCTGTGTATAACACCACAACCCCGCAGCATTAGTGGAGGGCGCACTATGCCTGTGTATAACACCACAACCCCGCACCATTAGTAGAGGGGGCACTATGTCTGTGTATAACACCACGCCCCCGCAGCATTAGTGAAGGGGGCACTATGTCTGTGTAACACCATGCCCCCGCAGCATTAGTGGAGGGGGCACTATGTCTGTGTATAACACCATGCCCCCGCAGCATTAGTGGAGGGTGCACTATGTCTGTGTATAACACCACGCCCCCACAGCATTAGTGGATGGGGCAATTTGTCTGTGTATAACACCACGCCCCCGCAGCATTAGTGGAGGGGGCACTATGCCTGTGTATAACACCACACCCCCGCAGCATGAGTCAAGGGGGCACTATGTCTGTGTATAACACCACACCCCCGCAGCATGAGTGAAGGGGGCACTATGTCTGTGTATAACACCACGCCCCCCCAGCATTAGTGGAGGGGGCACTATGTCTGTATAACACCACGCCCCTGCAGCATAAGTGGAGGGGGCACTATGTCTGTGTATAACATCACACCCCCGCAGCATAAGTTGAGGGGGCACTATGTCTGTGTATAACACCACGCCCCCGCAGCATTAGTAGAGGGGGTACTATGTCTGTGAATAACACCACGCCCCTGCAGCATTAGTGGAGGGCGCACTATGTCTGTGTATAACACCACGCCCTCACAGCATTAGTGGAGGGGGCACTATGTCTGTGTACAACACCACACTCCGCAGCATTAGTGGAGGGGGCACTATGTCAGTGTATAAAACCACTCCCCGCAGCATTAGTGGAGGGGGCACTATGTCTGTGTATAACACCACGCCCTCACAGCATTAGTGGAGGTGGCACTATGTCTGTGTACAACACCACCCTCCGCAGCATTAGTGGAGGGGGCACTATGTCTGTGTATAACACCACAACCTGGCAACATTAGTGGAGGGGGCACTATGTCTGTGTATAAAACCAGGCCCCCGCAGCATTAGTGAAGGGGGCACTATGTCTGTGTATAACACCACAACCCCGCACCATTAGTGGAGGGGGCACTATGTCTGTGTATAAAACCAGGCCCCCCCAGCATTAGTGGAGGGGGCACTATGTCTGTGTATAACACCACGCCCCCGCAGCATTAGTGGAGGGGGCACTATGTCTGTGTATAACACCACAACCCCGCAACATTAGTGGAGGGCGCACTATGCCTGTGTATAACACCACAACCCCGCAGCATTAGTAGATGGGGCACTATGTCTGTGTATAACACCACGCCCCCACAGCATTAGTGGAGGGGGCACTATGTCTGTGCATAACACCACGCCCCCGCAGCATTAGTGGAGGGGGCAATATGTCTGAGTATAACACCACGCCCCCGCAGCATTAGTAGAGGGGGCACTATGTCTGTGTATAACATCACGCCCCCGCAGCAATAGTGGAGGGGGCACTATGTCTGTATAACACCACGCCCCTGCAGCATAAGTGGAGGGGGCACTATGTCTGTGTATAACATCACACCCGCGCAGCATAAGTTGAGGGGGCACTATGTCTGTGTATAACACCACGCCCCCGCAGCATTAGTAGAGGGGGTACTATGTCTGTGTATAACACCACGCCCCTGCAGCATTAGTAGAGGGGGCACTATGTCTGTGTATAACACCACGCCCCCGCAGCAGTGTATAACACCACGCCCCCACAGCATTAGTGGAGGGCGCACTATGTCTGTGTATAACACCACAACCCCACACCATTAGTAGAGGGGGCACTATGTCTGTGCATAACACCACGCCCCCGCAGCATTAGTGGAGGGCGCACTATGTCTGTGTATAACATCACACCCGCGCAGCATAAGTTGAGGGGGCCCTATGTCTGTGTATAACACCACGCCCCCGCAGCATTAGGAGAGGGGGCACTATGTCTGTGTATAACACCACAACCCCGCACCATTAGTGGAGGGGGCACTATGTCTGTGTATAACCCCACGCCCCCGCAGCATTAGTAGAGGGGGTACTATGTCTGTGTATAACACCACGCCCCCGCACCATTAGTGGAGGGGGCACTATGTCTGTGTATAACATCACGCCCCCGCAGCAATAGTGGAGGGGGCACTATGTCTGTATAACACCACGCCCCTGCAGCATAAGTGGAGGGGGCACTATGTCTGTGTATAACACACCCCACCCCCCATCCCACCCCCGCAGCCTTAGTAGAGGGGGCACTATGTCTGTGTATAACATCACGCCCCCGCAGCAATAGTGGAGGGGGCACTATGTCTGTATAACACCACGCCCCCGCAGCCTTAGTGGAGGGGGCAATATGTCTGAGTATAACACCAAGCCCCCGCAGCATTAGTAGAGGGGGCACTATGTCAGTGTATAACACCACAACCCCACAGCATTAGTGGAGGGGGCACTATGTCTGTGTACAACACCACGCCCTTAGTGGAGGGGGCACTATGTCTGTGTATAACCCCACGCCCCTGCAGCATTAGTGGAGGGGGCACTATGTCTGTGTAGGGGGCACTATGTCTGTGTATAAAACCACTCCCCGCAGCATTAGTGGAGCGGGCACTATGTCTGTGTATAACACCACAACCCCACACCATTAGTAGAGGGGGCACTATGTCTGTGTATAACACCCCACCCCCGCAGCATTAGTAAAGGGGGCACTATGTCTGTGTATAACACCACGCCCCCCCAGCATTAGTGGAGGGGGCACTATGTCTGTGTACAACACCACGCCCTTAGTGGAGGGCGCACTATGTCTGTGTATAACACCACAACCCCACACCATTAGTAGAGGGGGCACTATGTCTGTGTATAACACCCCGCCCCTGCAGCATTAGTGGAGGGGGCACTATGTCTGTGTATAACACACCCCACCCCCCACCCCACCCCCGCAGCATTAGTAGAGGGGGCACTATGTCTGTGTATAACACCACACCCCCGCAGCATTAGTAAAGGGGGCACTATGTCTGTGTATAACACCACGCCCCCACAGCATTAGTGGAGGGGCACTATGTCTGTATAACACCACGCCCCCGCAGCATTAGTGGAGGGGGCACTATGTCTGTGTATAACACCACGCCCCCACAGCATTAGTGGAGGGGGGACTATGTCTGTGTATAACACCACGCCCCCCCAGCATTAGTGGAGGGGGCACTATGTCTGTGTATAACACAACGCCCCCGCAGCATTAGTGGAGGGAGCACTATGTCTGTGTATAACACACACACACACACACACCCGCAGCATTAGTGGAGGGGGGACTATGTCTGTGTATAACACCACGCCCCTGCAGCATTAGTGGAGGGGGCACTATGTCTGTGAATAACACCACGCCCCTGCAGCATTAGTGGAGGGGGCACTATGTCTGTGTATAACACCACCACCACCCCCGCAGCATTAGTTGAGGGGGCACTATGTCTGTGTATAACACCACGCCCCCACAGCATTAGTGGAGGGGGCACTATGTCTGTGTATAACACTATGCCCCCACAGCATCAGTGTGAGGGGGCAGAAAGTGTTTGTCTTTTACTCAGTAAGATGATCTGTTAGACTTTGCGTTCAGCATAAAACTTCATGTGGAGTATTGTATCAATATGTCATACAAAGGTCACTGTGACCTGTATTTTTCTATCCTGCAATAAAGCCCAGTAGAGCAACACACAATTGCTCACTCCAAGTAGGGACAGGCTTATAACAGGACATGTTATAACTTTTGTTTACATTCTGAACTGGTATGGATGAGAGTGGACCTATACCAGACATGGCCTGCTACCAGCCCCACAAATACTGTAGCTCCACTTCTGTGAATTCAGCATTTGTGTTTTACAAAAACATTTTCACATTTTAGTATGAACTGTATCAAATTGAGAAAAGGTTATTAAGAAAAGATCAATGATAAAAAAGTGCATATTACTTTAATTCATAAAATATAGTGGATATAAATTGGTGTTTTTTTTCTGTCTTTTATAAGCATATCAAGTCTTATGAGCCCACATATAAGGAATTGGTTTTCCTTTGCTTTTTAAATGTACTCTTTTGTTCTTTTGAAACATAAATCTGATAAAAACTACTATACCCCTGTTTGGAGTTCTTTTTCGTTACTTGAACATTTTTCCCAAAAATCTCCATACTCTGATTGTTTCTGTTTCAAACAATTCTTCTATCACAACTGCCAGTAAACAAACACACAACAAGTTATCAAAACTAAGCCGTTCATTGGCTACATACCGTTCTCCTTTGGGTTGGAGATATACTCTGTGAAATATACACAATGGTGTTTTTTTTTAAAATTTAAACTAATCTCTGTTTTAGGTTCAACTAACTTTCAATCATAATGATTTATTATTCATTTTGTATTATGTTATTTTGTTCTTTTCTTCAAGATTTTATAACTTACAAGTTATGTATCTGTTAAAAAATTCATCAGAAGGTATTTAATAAAAGAAAACATAAACACTGCCGATCCATCAATCTAAATAATTACAATTACAGTGTACAACGGACAATGAAAACTTAAGTTGGTTTCACTGTGTACAAGAATAATCCTTTAAAGACTTTTCAATAACAAATAAAATCTCCACTCAATTTCATATTTCAAATTGGGGGGGGGGAACCCCCAATTACAGTCAAAGAATGAATTGTCAAGGGGAATTACATGGAATCATGAACAGTCTATTATAACCAGTATTTACCCCAGCAAGTTAATTTACTCCAGTCTGTGATTTACTCCAGTGCATAAATTTTCCATGGTCACAGTAAGTAAATGTAAGGGACATGCATACCAGGCAAAAGGAGCAATATTAAACTCCTTGAAAGGTGGTACATTTCCTTAGAAAGACAATATATGATGCTATTTACCTGTATTCCTCCATGTTTGAAGTAGCTTGACATCAGAGCATCAAGGATTCGTGCGAAAGTAAACCGAACGTCTCTGTTAGGACATTCCAACAAAAATGGCCTACAAAGACATACAGAAATGAGTACATGAACATCTTGATTATCAGAGGCACAAAATAGGACTAATATGCTGTGTATCAGTCACATTACTGTATAGTGGTTATATTTCGCGGGGGTTTTAATTTCGCTATATTCGCGCTTTGACTTAAATCTGTGAATTCTTAACACCAGCAAAACTATAGAAAATGATAACGGCTTTTACGTACCTTATCACAACATGTTGAAAATACCTTTAACCTAATGCTATTATGCAAGCTTAAATGAACTCAAATCAGATTATCACCAGACAACTGGGTAGTTCATGTAAAAACAACAATTACATATAAGTGGCCACACCATATTTATGTGTACACAGTAGGTGATTTATTGATCACAGTTTACTCCTACAAAGGTACATACACATTTGATTTACTTTCGAGTGAAGTCACTGGCGGATTAACGATGGTTTACCTGTATTTCAAGGTTTAACCCTTAAATGATGACACTCAAAATACTTTGCACGACACATGGGATTCGGGTGCACAGTGAAATTTAACCACCGCGAATATGTACTGAATATTAGACGAGATTAAAAGCACTTTACAGTACTCACCCACCTCCTTTAACAAGACACCCCTAATGCAAATAATATAACCCTTCAATTTATCAGTTAAAACTTCAAGCCAATTGTTCATGGTCATACTGCCACAGTGACTGTACAATACATAGCTGACCAAGGCTGGTCATACTGTCACAGTGACTGTACAATATATAGCTGACCAAGGCTGGTCATACTGCCACAGTGACTGTACAATACATAGCTGACCACGGCTGATCATACTGTCACAGTGACTGTACAATACATAGCTGACCAAGGCTGGTCATACTGTCAGTGTACAATACATAGCTGACCAAGGCTGGTCATACTGTCACTGTCACTGTACAATACATAGCTGACCAAGGCTGGTCATACTGTCACTGTCACTGTACAATACATAGCTGACCAAGGCTGGTCATACTGTCACTGTACAATTCATAGCTGACCAAGGCTGGCCATACTGTCACAGTGACTGTACAATACATAGCTGACCAAGGCTGGTCATACTGTCACAGTGTCTGTACAATACATAGCTGACCAAGGCTGGCCCTTTTATAATTCCAATCTATGTACAAATGTTGGCAATGTAGTAAGATTTTACTGGTAGTGTTAATGTATCTTACTTGATATAGGAGGATCCATCCATGCCGGACATGTATTCCACCATCCAGATACACGCCTCCTTGCAGCCCTGTAGTTTACTCTCTATGGTCTCCGCCCATTCATACAGGTCGGTTCTGTAAGTACAATGGTTTGTGTCATATTCTCTTTTCTTTTATTTAGAATGATCTATAGTGTAACTGAACAGTGTATAAACCAGAAAGCCAAATAAACCAAACCTTCAAGTTTTAATGTATAACTTAAATAAATTGTATCAAAAAGCTACTGTACTTCTGATCAAATGTCATCCTTTTTGTTAATAAAGAGAAAGAAAAGTATATATCAGAAACTGGAAGTACTGAAAAATTTACTGGCGTTACACTATTTTCCAAAACAAAATTATTTAATGAAAATTTAAACAATTATGCCGCTAAAATATTCCAAGGTAAAGAGAAACAAAATTTTGAAATTTATTGTACTTACTTTGTCCTCTTTTTCGTCCTGAAGAATGTGTTGAACAAATATTTCATTCCTAGTTGGAGAGCTTGGACAGAAATGGTAGTGAAATCCTTCTTATTACGACTTTTCTGTAAACCAGAATGACACACAATATTTAATATAATTAAAATATTACTACTATTACAACTGAAGACAAAATCTTCATGATTTGGGTTCAGAATGATCACCGAAATACTTTATTACAAAATATTTACACATCAATCTTGTCTATCACCTGTCTATTCCAACCACTGTCTATACCAACCACTGTCCATCTCTACCACTGTCCATCTCGACCACTGTCCATACCAACCAATATCCAACAAAACCACTGTCCATCCAAACCACTGTTCATATGGACTACTGTCCATATCGACCACTGCCCATCTCAACCACTGTCCATCCCAACCACTGTCCATCCCGACCACTGTCCATCCCAACCACTGTCCATTCCAATTATTGTCCATACCAACCACTGTCCATACCAATTACTGTCCATACCAACCACTGTCCATACCAATAAATGTCCATACCAACCACTATCCATACCAATTACTGTCCATATTAACCACTGTCCATTCCAACCATTGTTCATCCCAACCACTGTCCATCCCAACCACTGTCCATTTCGACCACTGTCCATCCCAACCACTGTCCATCCCAATTACTGTCCATTTCGACCACTGTCCATACCAATCACTGTCCATCCCAACCACTGTCCATCCCAACCACTGTCCATCCCAATTACTGTCCATACCAACCACTGTCCATCCCAACCACTGTATAAACTATCTAGTTTGAGTGGGAGAAGACTTATTCAGGCTAGGACTGTTGTTTTATCTCTTTGTTTGTATCAATGATATATCTTGAATTGAATTGAAACAGGACATGCGAGTTGTATGACACACATACAATTTTTTCAAATATATTCCCAAACTTGCTGCTCTTTTATATTTGATTGTTCAACTTACTGTATCCCTTACCGAGTAAAGATCTACAAGGTTTTTGACAAATCTGAAGTACTCGACATTGTAGACATCCCTATTTTTGACGAAGGTCAAGTTTTCTCCTTGTATAACTTGGTGTATACTAGCAGGCATCTGTTCCGTGAAGATCCCCCGCCGCTCTCCTTTGTGGACAAGCTCAGTCAGCTCCATCAGACTGTCAGAGTCAAGTCTTCCTTTCCTACAAATAAAAGGGGGAAAGAAAAAAAAAATATTAAAAGAGATGTGATGATACACAAGGAGTCCCTTTCTTTTTATTCGTTTCTGGAAAATCCTATGCAATAAACTCATCCAGTTAGATCCTAGCAGCAATAAACTCAAGCATGTCTCCAAACAAATGGGTCCATCAACTGAACCTCTCAATTTTAACATCTGGTCTATCAAAAAAAGTCTGTCAACTGAACCTCTCTATTTTAACATCTGGTCTATCAAAAATGTCCCTCAACTGAACCTCTCAATTTTAACATCTGGTCTACCAAACAAGAGGCCCATGGGCCTAAAAGGTCACCTTAGTCCTACAGTATTTATTTTTGTGTTGAAATATGTACCAATTTGGGTAAAAAATAGTTAAGTATAACGTTAACTTAAGTTTGTCAGGTCCATGAGCTGATCATTCCTAGACCGAGTTTCGGTTAAATCGGCCTATTAGAACTTGTTTTTAAGTTTGAAATAGTTTTTTCAAAAAAGCGGCCGTGTCGGCCATATTGGATTTCTAATCGACCCAAAAAATAACAACACTTTGTCAGGACCATGAGTCGATCATTCCTACAAAGTTTCAGTTCAATCGGCCCAGTAGAACTTGACTTTAAGTTTGAAATTGTTTTTCAAAATGGCGGCCGTGGCGGCCATATCGGATTTCTGATTGACCCGAAAAATAACAACACTTTGTCAGGACCATTAGTCGATCATTCCTTCAAAGTTTCAGTTCAATTAGTCCAGCAGAACTTGACTTTAAGTTTGAAATAGTTATTCAAAATGACGGCCGTGGCGGCCATATTGAATTTCTGATTGACTCGAAAAATAATGCTTTGTCAGGACCATTAGTCGATCATTCCTACCAGGTTTCAGTTCAATTGGCCCAACAGAACTTGACTTTAAGTTTGAAATAGTTTTTCAAAATGGCGGCCGTGGCGGCCTTATTGGATTTCTGATCGACCCGAAAAATAACAACACTTTGTCAGGGAGATGTCAGTAACCTTCCCATGAAATATTAATGAAATCCCTTTGCCAGTATTTCAGCTTAAGTTGAAAATGTAAAATGTTAACGGACGACGACGGACGAAGACGGATAGCAATAGGTCACCTGAGCTAAAGCTCAGGTGACCTAAAAAAGTCCATCAACTGAACCTCTCTATTTTAACATCTGGTCTATCAAGGTTCCTCTATTAGTTTTCTTTCTGTAAATCCTTATAATTTGGTTAAAATAGAATCAAGATATAGTGTGTCATATATACGATTGACGCAAGATTCAATTTGAGTTATACTCAATTAAATATTCACGAGACATCTCATATAATTTGCATTCAACTTTGCAGAAAATTTGAAAAATGAAATGCATACAAAATATTAAGTTCGTAATAAAGAATTTTGAGAAGATGTTGTACATAGAATCTTACCCCAAGTCCGGTACAATCCGTTTGATAATCTTTGTTTTCTTGGCTGAACTAGGATTTTTGGGTTCTTGTACTTTTTCATAAAACAGCATGTATCCATTCCAATAGCGTACTCGGTCATCAGGATAACTTGATGCTGAAATAAGTTTTAATACAAGTTTTTAATTGTTTTTTCCCCCATTTCAGGTATATCATTCCCCCCTGCAATGTATATATATATAAATAATATGCATTTTTAAAATCAAAAGACACAACTAATTATCTTTTTTAATCAATCATTATTTAAATATTATTCAAATTCAAGGTGTATTTGTTTCGGAAATTTAAATGAAAACAAAAAAAAGTAGAATTTTAACAAGTAAATGCAATATTTGTATAAATACAAATCTGACAAATCTTTACCCTGAATGCATAATTTAGTATTTGTCATACTTAAAACAAGCAGTAAATATTGAACATTTTTATGATTTTGAAGAGTCAAGCACTTAAACTTCTGATTAAAGAAGATATTTAGATATTTAAACACTTTGTAAGGAGATATCATAGATGGTAACACAAGACCGATGAGAAGAACTTACAGGATTCGTAGACTTTGGCTTTATACGTCCCACCAAAACATTCCGCCTCCAGTGTCTCGTCCGTCATCTCACACTCCTCCACGATTGTGTCGTTAAACTTGTACCACTTGCCTTTATTAGGATTGTCCATCACTGTGCCTCTGTATACAACAAACCCCCAGTTAATAACTGTATAAGTTATACATGTACACAGAGATCAATCTAATAGGTACAGTGAAACCTCAATATAATGCCCCTCATTTTATTGCCACCTCGTTTACCGCCAACATATTTCAATGTCCCGTTTTCTCGTTTGCTTATGAATCCTCAATTTATCACCAAACCCCTTTATAACACCATATTTACTCTTGGATTAATTGTGGCAGTATATCAAGGTTTACTGTACATTATAGTTATAGAGGTCATATCTCAGCTATAGAGGTCAAATTTAATATGGACAAGATAGAGGTCATACCTCACGAGTATATAGATGTATCTTATGAGTACAAGCTATAGGATCATGTCCTAGGTCATGTATTAATACAATGTGAAGTATCATGCCCAGTCCTGATTTAGTAGATTTTACTGACTAGTCACATCTGTAACAAATTTTTACATTCGGTCATATCCTAGAGTACATCAATAATTTTACTGCCCTTTAGAAGGACAAGGTACCCTGGGATTATCGTCATTAACATACGACCTTGACCAAGGTCATACCTGCGGTCCTTGATAAACGAGTAGTAGTGTCCAGCATTGGCCTGTCCGCTATGGACCACAACTCCAACCAACTCATAATTTATCTGCTTTGACTCCACATGCGAGCTCTCCACAATTTCAGGCATTCGTTCATCTAATGATGAAGTTGTGTCCCCTGATTCTGACTCCGAGCTGCTCTCTGCATTTTCCGTAGCCTCTTCTCGTCTTGCCATTCCCTCTGTTGTATATGGTTCCATGTCTAACACCCATGGAAACTGTAAACGAAAAGTGATACACAGGTAATACAGAATTTTCTACAATAGCTGTTAAACATATGGTTCCATGTCTATCTCCCAAAGAGATTCTACAAAACGTGACACAAAGGTTACACATGATTCTTAACAATGACCGTCAGTGTCGTCACAAAACGTGACACAAAGGTTACACATAATTCTTAACAATGGCCGTCAGTGTCGTCACAAAACGTGATACAAAGGTTACACATGTTTATTAACAATGACCGTCAGTGTTGTCACAAAACGTGATACAAAGATTACACATGATTCTTAACAATGACCGTCAGTGTTGTCACAAAACGTGATACAAAGGTTATACATGATTCTTAACAATGACCGTCAGTGTCGTCACAAAACGTGATACAAAGGTTACACATGATTCTTAACAATGACCGTCAGTGTTGTCACAAAACGTGATACAAAGGTTACACATGATTCTTAACAATAACCGTCAGTGTCGTCACACAACGATCAAGCAGATCAAATAACCAATATAAATTCATTTTTTTCCATCAGCAGCATAACCATAGATCCATTTTAAAACAGAACTCACTTTGAAATAATCATCAAACTTGAGTGCCCTGTTTGCTTCCCAGTCATAGCCAAACCTCTTGAGCTGGATACACAACAGAGGGGGGAGTGTCTTTATACACATCCTCTTAATGGTGTTCCTCTGCAAGTAAAACAATTCTTCATCAGAAAACTATCACTCAGTCTCCAACATTTTTGAATTAGGACAAAATCTTCAGTGAAAAATTAGTGTAATTTCCACACCAATGACTCTCACTTTAAATATTGAATTTGAAAAAAGTATATTTCATATTTATAATGTGAAGCGATCTGACATCAACTTAATAATGAACAATAGGATAATATAACAGACTTTCAACTTTTCACGAAAATAAAATGTGTTAATGGCTATTTATTCTTACTCACAAAACAGCGTTTCAGTCAATAATTATGTAAAAGATAGTGTTTTTTAATGCAACAAAAAATTAATTGCACACAAATCAATGTTGCCAGTAGGTAGCCACCTTTTCACCACACTTCTCACAGAAGTAAGCATTGTCTCCTTCTAGTAACTCCCCGTGCACAAACTGGTCGAGCGAATCCTGTAAAGTGGCATTCTTCACCGTCAAATTCAACGCAAAGAACGACTCTTCTCTCTCATACCTGACCACAAGAGAAAATGGTGTTTTACAACAACTCATCAAATACAGATGAAATTCACATCGAATATGAAAAACAATCACAATTGACATATACGCTTTACACTTTAAGATGTTAAATTTTTGCCAGTTAAATGCATTTTCTCTTTTTGCACTGGAAGGTGAAACAATTAAACACGGGGAAAATATTTTATTTACAAAGCTATATATTTAAAACAAAAGGAAGTTAAGTCAATATCTGGCAAATTTGTAAAAAATTACTAGAAAGGCAAAAAATATACTCGTATAAAGTACATTGCACAGTCTGACTAGTATCACAATGGTGCACTGACTGTGAATAAACTGGGTAGAGGTAATAGCAATGAACAAAAACAAAGATACTATTAGTAAAGTATCTTAGTTAGCAAAGTTATGGCACGGTAACAAACATTTACTATCAACAGGACTACTGCAAAAGCTCCTTGAAATTAAGGTTTATCTGTGTCCCTAATAAAGAGCCATCTCATTACCATCAAGTTCTGCTGATGAACTTTGGCTTCAGCAATTTCATATCTTTAGGTTTTCTGGAGTTTGTTATAAATGTGTTTTACTGTATATGCAGTTTGCTTTTATCAACACATTTGGAATGATTATTGTTGCTATCTAGGGATGTCACGGTTAACCGAAATAACGGTTAATCGCGGTTCAAAAGACCACGGTTCGGTTCATAATTTCCGTATTTCGGTTTGGTTCTGTATAAGTAGGTCGTAGTTGTTTGGTAGCAGCAAAGGTGTGGATTATTTGTGTCATATCTCGATCGATACACGCCCCTGACTCCATAGTCATGCAACCGCAATAATAAGTACAACTATGTTCTTTAGGATTGCTTGAAATGGCAACTTCGACTTGGATTTTCTCGTCGGAGGCGGTCTTGTGCACAAGACGGTAACTGAATACTGGCTATATGTATAAACACAAATTAAACACTTCACAGGATTTACCTCTTCAATCAATGTCGGCCTATATATCTAATATAACTTGGAAATCAGCAGCTACGAACGAAACTGGATTCAACACATTGGCCCAGTGCAGAAAACATGACAACACGAGGCCTTTGCCTTGAAAAAGTTTTACAAACGACTTTAACCCAATTTCGTAGCGGTATATATATGTGTATATATTATGTACGATATGGGCGGACATTGATGAGTTTAGATCCCGTAAAGTACACCAATTTAATATTGGTTTTTTTAATTTTATGATTCTAGTCAGATTGTCAAAACGTAAGGTGCATGAGCAACATGCATAATATACATGAGGTAGGTTAGCACTAGCAACTTAGTTAATACGGAGACTGAAATGTTTGCAGGCCATGATATAATAAAGGAGAGAACATGATTGTCCAGTAAGTACATAGATTGTGCAATGGATATATTTGCATGATATAATGAAGGAAATATATATTACATAGATGTTTCAACGTCAACTTAAGATGGGACAGTTGTGGACATCGAAATACCTAATACAAGTGACAGATTCTTCGTGTTAGTATCTTTATACTCAATACCCTCAGAGGACTAGTAGACAATTGTATATTACTGTTTTAAGTGTGTACATAAGGAAGTTTATTTACGTATTCTACTTGTGATTGTGTATATAAAATACATAGATTACAAAGTTGCCTGAACCGAACTGAATTAACTGAAAACCGACAACAAAAATGATAACCGAACCGAACCAAAAAATTCCTGAACCGTGACATCCCTATTGCTATCACAGTACAGTGTTCTACCTAACTATGAATATCATCACCAAATATAATAAATTTTAAAAATTCACCACAACAAACTTACCTGTGTGGACAATCTTTACAGATCTTTTGGTCAGAAAAGATGCCCTCAAACCTGGCTTTGAAAAGTTCTTCCTTGCCACTTTTCTGAAATGAAAAACAAAAATGTTTAAGTGTTACAGTGGGTAGAAAAAACAAACAGTTTACTTGACACCTAGTAAACAAATCACATTGTTAAACCTCATCAGTGGTACAATTTCCTTGGTTTACTGAAATGTGAGAACATTTCTTAGTAATGCATGCTCAAAGTTGATGAAACATTGTATTTCCCAGCAGCATGATGCCAAAGTGAAAATACAATTTGTGTTTAAGCCAATTAGATCAAAGATTTCTCACATGTGATACTGTTGATTACCTTCATGTGTTCGTCCACCTGGTCGACAAGAGCCTGGAAGAAGTCAAATGCATCCTGTTGTTCCCGGATGTTTATGGACTGTCCCCAGAGCTGGAACACCTTCCAGAACTTCTCCGGCTCATGGTACTGAAGCTTGCTCTCCATGAGGTGACCAAACACCTGCTGGATCTGGTAAAATACACTGCCAAACAAATTCATATGTCATTCAAACGATTTTTTCTTAATATTTCAAAGATTTGTCAAACAGAAATAAAAACACATTCAAAATATGCAATACTACTACTTATAAATTCACATTTACTATGATACTTTTACATAATCTTTTAGTGCATCATACTGAAATTATTTAGCACTTATTCTATTATGCACCAATCAAAAATGGCTAAACCTTTTCACCCTTTCAGGCTGTAACTCTTAGCAACTTGATGACGTCACAGTTATTCTTTATTGTTCCAGTCACATGACCTCTATTGTCATTGTACCATAGTTGCAAACATCATGTAACTGTGCTCTGAAGACGACCTCCATTTGGCCGAAACATGTCAGCACGTAGGATGTAAATCTAACATTACATTTTGTACAGGATTCAGTGGTGTTGTTGTTCATCATTTCTTTTTTCAAAATCAACAAGTAAGATTGATGTTTTTCAATGTGACCGTTTACCAAAAGTAGGAAATTTATAAACAAACATGTAAAGGGATTCAAATTTAAACAATTTTTTTTGTAAATAACTTTTAAAATGAACAAGATAGGTGTGATTTTCATACAGACCTTTCTTCCTCTACATGGTCGTCATCAATCCCCAGCACACTCTCAGGAATACCCGGGGCCATGTAGAGTTGTTGTATCACAGAATTCATATAGCAGGTAGCTCCTCCATTCTTCAGGCCCACATAGCCACACCGTGCCCGTCCATCAACAGGGGGAAGGTACTAGGAGATAAATAATTATAGTTAGGGTAGTCAAAGCCACTCAAACAGGGGGAAGGTACTAGGAGGTAAATAATTATAGTTAGGGCACAAACAGGGGGAGGGTACTAGGAGGTAAATAATTATAGTTAGGGCAGCCAAAACCACACAAACAGGGGGAGAGTACTAGGAAGTAAATAGTTATAGTTAGGGTAGTCAAAGCCGCACAAACAGGGGGAAGTACTAGGAAGGAGGTAAATAATTATAGTTAGGGTAGTCAAAGCCACACAAACAGGGGGAAGGTACTAGGAGGTAAATGATTATAGTTAGGGCACAAACAGGGGGAGGGTACTAGGAGGTAAATAATTATAGTTAGGGCAGTCAAAACCACACAAACAGGGGGAAGGTACTAGGAGGTAAATAGTTATAGTTAGGGTAGTCAAAGCCACACAAACAGGGGGAAGGTACTAGGAGGTAAATAATTATAGCTAGGGTATTCAAAGCCACTCAAACAGGGGGAAGGTACTAGGAGGTAAATAATTATAGTTAGGGTAGTCAAAGCCACACAAACAGGGGGAAGGTACTAGGAGGTAAACAATTATAGTTAGGGCAGTCAAAGCCACACAAACAGGGGAAAGGTACTAGGAGTTAAACAATTATAGTTAGGGCAGTCAAAGCCACTCAAACAGGGGGAAGGTACTTGGAGGTAAATAGTTATAGTTAGGGCAGCCAAAGCCACTCAAACAGGGGGAAGGTACTTGGAGGTAAATAGTTATAGTTAGGGCAGCCAAAGCCACTCAAACAGGGGGAAGGTACTTGGAGGTAAATAGTTATAGTTAGGGCAGCCAAAGCCACTCAAACAGGGGGAAGGTACTTGGAGGTAAATAGTTATAGTTAGGGTAGTCAAAGCCACACCACAGGGGGAAGGTACTAGGAGGTAAATAATTATAGTTAGGGCACAAACAGGGGGAGGGTTCTAGGAGGTAATTAATTATAGTTAGGGTTTTCAAAGCCACACAAACTGGGGGAAGGTACTAGGAGGTAAATAATTATAGTTAGGGCAGTCAAAACCAAACAAACAGGGGGAAGGTACTAGGAGGTAAACAATTATAGTAAGGTCAGTCAAAGCCACACAAACAGGGGGAAGGTACTTGGAGGTAAATAATTATAGTTAGGGCACAAACAGGGGGAGGGTTCTAGGAGGTAATTAATTATAGTTAGGGTTTTCAAAGCCACACAAACTGGGGGAAGGTACTAGGAGGTAAATAATTATAGTAAGGGTTGTCAAAGCCACACAAACAGGGGGAAGGTACTTGGAGGTAAATAATTATAGTTAGGGCAGTCAAAGTCACTCAAACAGGGGGAAGGTACTAGGAGGTAAACAATTATAGTTAGGGCAGTCAAAGTCACTCAAACAGGGGGAAGGTACTAGGAGGTAAACAATTATAGTTAGGGCAGTCAAAGTCACTCAATCAGGGGGAAGGTACTAGGAGGTAAATAATTATAGTTAGGGAAGTCAAAGCCACACAAACAGGGGGAAGGTACTTGGAGGTAAATAATTATAGTTAGAGTTGTCAAAGCCACACAAACAGGGGGAAGGTACTTGGAGGTAAATAATTATAGTTAGGGTTGTCAAAGCCACTCAAACAGGGGGAAGGTACTAGGAGGTAAACAATTATAGTTAGGGCAGTCAAAGCAACACAAACAGGGGAAAGGTACTAGGAGTTAAACAAATATAGTTAGGGCAGTCAAAGCCACTCAAACAGGGGGAAGGTACTTGGAGGTAAATAGTTATAGTTAGGGTAGTCAAAGCCACACCACAGGGGGAAGGTACTAGGAGGTAAATAATTATAGTTAGGGAAGTCAAAGCCACACAAACAGGGGGAAGGTACTTGGAGGTAAATAATTATAGTTAGAGTTGTCAAAGCCACACAAACAGGGGGAAGGTACTTGGAGGTAAATAATTATAGTTAGAGTTGTCAAAGCCACACAAACAGGGGGAAGGTACTTGGAGGTAAATAATTATAGTAAGGGAAGTCAAAGCCACACAAACAGGGGGAAGGTACTAGGAGGTAAACTATTATAGTTAGGGTAGTCAAAGCCACTCAAACAGGGGGAAGGTACTAGGAGGTAAACAATTATAGTTAGGGCAGTAAAAGCCACACAAACAGGGGAAAGGTACTAGGAGTTAAACAAATATAGTTAGGGCAGTCAAAGCCACTCAAACAGGGGGAAGGTACTTGGAGGTAAATAGTTATAGTTAGGGTAGTCAAAGCCACACCACAGGGGGAAGGTACTAGGAGGTAAATAATTATAGTAAGGGTTGTCAAAGCCACACAAACAGGGGGAAGGTACTAGGAGGGAAACAATTATAGTTAGGGCAGTCAAAGCCACACAAACAGGGGAAAGGTACTAGGAGTTAAACAAATATAGTTAGGGCAGTCAAAGCCACTCAAACAGGGGGAAGGTACTAGGAGGTAAATAATTATAGTTAGGGCACAAACAGGGGGAGGGTTCTAGGAGGTAATTAATTATAGTTAGGGTTTTCAAAGCCACACAAACTGGGGGAAGGTACTAGGAGGTAAATAATTATAGTAAGGGTTGTCAAAGCCACACAAACAGGGGGAAGGTACTAGGAGGTAAATACTTAGGGTATGTTGCTATATGTTGCTTTATGCAGTTTATTTAAAACGTAAACAAGAAAAGCATAGTTAAGTTCAGCCACATCTTCATTGGTAAGATGAAGATCATTTCAATAATCAATAATCAATCATTATCATGACACCAATTTTATTTTTTGCTATAAACAAGTATTTTGTATCCTTTCTTTTAATAGTTCCATCTTACATTTTAGGAGAGGGTTTTTATGTCGATAGTGGTATATGTATGATGTTATAATAAAAACCATCTACTCTAGCCTGGCAAATATGTAAAAAGTTATTGTTGAAATTGTACAATGGCACTGTAATCTAGGAGATGGCTCTTGATCCCTGACCATTGAAATATCAGCCCTCGGTAACACGATAGCTACCGGCCCTACCTCCCACTCATTGGCACAATCTGGTTGAGGTAGGTGATGCATTTGAATGAGTTGTTTACAAATGTCGGTGAGGATAGGCAGGCTGTCCATGGCCAGCTCTGCCAGGAGGTGATAAGCTGCCACACGTGACTCTGAGTTACTGCACCTATACAAACAAACAGGATTTAGGTGAGCTTACAACTTTAACGGCCCTATAATAAAGAAAATGACTTAATATGCAGACTAACAAAACAATCACATGATTTTACACTCCCCCTAGGGCAAATCCTTTCCACTTCCTTTTCTTTCTTGAAAAACAACAATAGCTTATAGTTTAGTCACAATTTCCTTCCTTTCCTCGTTTTCTGTCTTTTGTTTAAACATTTTATTTACAAATTGTGACACTGATGTTGACTTTGACTTACTTTGGATTGGCCTCAGTGAGGTCACCCTTCAGGTTAGAGTCGTCCATACTATCCATCATGACCTTGGAGGCCGGGAACAGGAAGTCATTGAGAAGGTCATACACCAGTCCTCTCCCTAGCAGCAATAAAAATATCACGGTGTTATCTCCCCTACATTACAATTACTGTAAAATTCTTCCTTTAACTTGGATACTGTATAACACTTGTATTCACTGTATAACACTTATATCCACTGTATAACACTTATATTCACTGTATAACACTCATATTTACTGTATAACACTTATATCTACTGTATAACACTTATATTCACTGTATAACACTCATATTTACTGTATAACCCTTATATTCACTGTATAACACTCATATTTACTGTATAACAGTTATATTTATTGTATAGCTTTTACGTTAATGTAAGTCATCATTATTTTGGATTAGGTTACATGTTGCTAAATTCTTGGCCCCAAAAATGCAACCAATGATGTTACGTGAAATCCATAAAATCAGTTTTCTTCCTTGTACAGAACAACATAGAGTATGTCAGTGACAATTTAAAGCAGTTGAAAGTATCTGGTTTTCTTGCTGAACATAGACTATAATGTCTCCTATTAGGACAAAATTGTCTGTAAAAATATACCTCACGATTCAAGTCGGACATTCCTGATAGTGATGAAACCAACACAGCTATGATTTAAGCAAGTACATGTATGTACATTTAGTGATGAGGTCACATAGCTGAGCATATTTTTCTCACCAAATTGTTTCCAAGAAATTTACTCCAAATCATGTATGAATGATGAAGCCATCTTTTTCAATGTTAATTACAAGGCATTGTTATGTCTTACCAAATTCCTCCTTGTCTATGCCCTCACAGGTAAACAGGGTCTTGATGAGCTTCAGGTGACCAGCCAGTAAACTGTTGTCTGTATCAGACAAGTCACGGTTCGTTGACGGCACAAAATTTCCCAACCAATTGATCTCATCCTCCAACATAGTAGGTACATCCAAGGACAGTTTCTTCTGATCTTCATCTACAACCGTATCACTGGTCATTACACAAATGTAGAAATATAACATCCTCTACAACCTTATCACTGGTCATTACACAAATGTAGCAATATAACATCCTCTACAACCGTGTCACTGGTCATTACACAAATGTAGAAACATAACATCCTCTACAACCGTGTCACTGGTCATTACACAAATGTAGCAATATAACATCCTCTACAAGCGTGTCACTGGTCATTACACAAATGTAGCAATATAACATCCTCTACAACCGTATCACTCGTCATTATTAAAATGTAGAAATATAACATCCCCTATAGCCGTATCACTAGTCATTATACAAATGTAGAAATATAACATCCTCTACAACCGTATCACTCGTCATTATTCAAATGTAGAAATATAACATCCTCTACAACCGTGTCACTGGTCATTACACAAATGTAGAAATATAACATCCTCTATAGCCGTATCACTCGTCATTACACAAATGTAGAAACATAACATCCTCTACAACCGTATCACTCGTCATTACACGAATGTAGAAACATAACATCCTCTACAACCGTATCACTCGTCATTACACAAATGTAGAAACATAACATCCTCTACAACCGTGTCACTCGTCATTACACAAATGTAGAAATATAACATCCTCTACAACCGTATCACTCGTCATTATTCAAATGTAGAAATATAACATCCTCTACAACCGTATCACTCGTCATTATTCAAATGTAGAAATATAACATCCTCTACAACCGTATCACTCGTCATTATTCAAATGTAGAAATATAACATCCTCTACAACCGTAGCACTGGTCATTACACAAATGTAGAAATATAACATCCTCTCCAACAGTATCACTCGTCATTATACAGATGTAGAAATATAACATCCTCTACAACCGTATCACTCGTCATTACCCAAATGTAGAAACATAACATCCTCTACAACCGTATCACTCGTCATTATTCAAATGTAGAAATATAACATCCTCTACAACCGTATCTCTCGTCATTACACAAATGTAGAAATATAACATCCTCTACAACCGTAGCACTGGTCATTACACAAATGTAGAAATATAACATCCTCTCCAACAGTATCACTCGTCATTATACAGATGTAGAAATATAACATCCTCTACAACCGTATCTCTCGTCATTACACAAATGTAGAAATATAACATCCTCTATAGCCGTATCACTAGTCATTATACAAATGTAGAAATATAACATCCTCTACAACAGTATCACTCGTCATTACACAAATGTAGAAATATAACATCCTCTCCAACAGTATCACTCGTCATTATACAAATGTAGAAATATAACATCCTCTACAACCGTATCACTCGTCATTACACAAATGTAGAAATATAGCATATTTCAGCAATATGATACATACCTGTTAAGTTTTCCAGTAGTCTACACCGCAAATCAAAATACTGGGAACATTGCATCAACAATCTGGAACGGAATCAGAACACATAAACATTTCTTTATTAATCAAGTCCAAACTGGTTTTGAAGAAATACAGATTATATATATTTTGTTATAACAACCAATAAAAAAAAATTAAGCTGAATGCCCATATAAGGACTTTCTTGTTTATGGCTGGAATGTATGACTAAACCTATTGATTGAACTGTAACTAAATTGATGGTGAAGTTCAGAAAATCACATGTTAGTTTGGGGTGATTTTTTTCAAGAGTTAATTTGACTTAAGTTTTGATTAATATAGAAGTCATCCATCTGATCATAGCAGAATTATATGAGTTGAGGTTGGAAAATCAGCTTTTCCAATCTATCGGGTTAAAACAAAGTATTGCAGAACAACACTAATCTGCCTGGTCATTGCTGAAGTCAAAGAATGACATGGTGTGAATTTGGGAAAAATTAAACTGGGGAAGGAAGTCTAAGGATAGCGTGTCATATGTCTCACCTTTGACTAGCGCCCCTTGTGCTAGCGGAAGACACCCAGAAAGGGAGATAAGCCTTGAGGAGCACTTTTAAAATGAACTGGTGTGGAGTTTGATGTCCAACAGAATTGACGGTGCTGCCCTCACTGAGAGATAACTGAGTCTGACTGAGGAGATAAAACTGGTCGAGTGCTGCGTTCCTGATGTCGGCCTGGGAACAGCCAACTAGTATGTCTATAATGAAGTCACTGACACATGGCAGCGTGTAAAACGAGGCTGCAAATAACAAACAAGGGTATCAACAGCAATGTCAGATTTACTGTACTGATAGAAATTTCTAAATAGTGCCTTGACATTTAAACACCAGTTTCCTCAAAGAAAGATTGGACAAAAATTCTGTATGTCCTCCAAATTAAATTAAAATTTCAAGTAACTGTCTAAATATAAAATGTATCGAGAGATATATAGTATAAAGAAGAAAATAAACACATAGACAATATATAGATTTAAATAGAGAACATATTATTAACGTCGTTTGTTCTGTACAGATATTAGAAACTATGAAGTCTCAAACAATGTTATTTGACAAATAATTTCCAACCTTTTGACAGTCTAATTTCCCACTAATGAGTCCATTGGATACTAACCTAGTAATTCACAACGAAGTTGAAGGCAAGCAACAAGAATTTCCAAGGCTTCCTTAGCTATATTGCAATCCTTGGAGGAGATGAACGTCTGCCTTACACACACACCAGCATGTAGTGTTTGACAGTCACTATCACTACCGGTACTGGCTGTACTACCTGTCAAATTACAGCCGAGCAAACATTTATATCACTACAAATCAACGTCTTTATTATAAACCTTTTATCAGGGCAATTCTGTGTTAAATAATTTGTTTTTGTTTCCAAAAACAATATCAAGTAGCATGAAATGATGTCTCCAAGTGTATTTTTTTTTCCAAAACATCATTGGGCATGTCACATACATAAACTTTGTGTTCTAAAAACCACTGTATATGTATCAACTGGAGAATTATCTTTAAAGATCTATATATATATAATTTCAAATGTTTGACAGGGGAATTAACCTTATAACATTGTAAACATGCATTGGTATGCTCATTGAATTAATCAGGATTTGTATTGATACAATCGGTAGTGCTGATCATTTGAAGGATAAATGCATAAACACCATATCTAAGTTCTGCAGACAGCTGTATCTACTATTTGTAAATTTGTTTTCATCATGCAGTGCTCCTGTCCCTATGAAAATCCTATTGGATAATTTAAAGGAGGAAAGCCTATCTCTGCCAGGTGTTAGGATACTTGCATCCTTACCAGTCGTGCAATCTAGCCACATTCATACATGCTATCTGGAGTGTACAATATATACATATCTACAAACTCTATATGTGCTTTGCTAGGATACTTACCAGTGCTACTCTGTCGGCTACGACAGCCACACCCGTACATGTTGGAGCTTTCTATGATTGGCTGAGGGGAACTGAGGAGGTGGAGCCGACCAGCAGCTGCCGCCCACGTTACCCTCATAAAACAAGACACTGTCTCCGTAAAGACCGGTACACCCATTGTCTATAAAAATAACATACAGCATTAATAATACACAATACAGGTTGTTTTTTAAAACGAGGCTACCTATTGTTTGTGATAGAAAATCAGATATAACTTCATAAGAATCTATAAAGTCTCGCAGTGGATAAACAAAATGGAAATAGAAAATTAAAAGATTAAAGATCAAAATTTCTAAAAATCAGATTTTAACATTTAGGAATACATAGAACAGATGATGATTTTTTTTAAAATATTACTGCAATGCAGAAGGACTTGTTAATCTGAGCTTTAATGTCCCAGAAAATTCTAGATGCTAACTGTTCAGAAGCTAAAATATAATGAACACCCAGTGATCATATATGCTTCATCAATATTATTTAAAAAAATTGTTACATCAGAAATAACAATATTTACCTGTACTGCATGCCCTGCAGCAGTGACCGCCCTCTCCACATTAATAGTCAGTGGACTGGTCAGTGACGTAGGGGGGGTGGCTGACAGAGTGACCTTGGGCATATCCCCAGCCTCCGAGGGTAGGCATGCCGCTCCTTCTGTACTGACAGCCTCACCGGTGACTGTTTGGCCACACAGGAGAAATCTGGCCAGCTGTAGACAGATGGAGTAACAGCCCTGGCGCGTGGTGTAGTTGAGTTCTGGAGCGAGACTCTCGGGCTGAAGGACATTCACAACCATCTGCAGGCCATCACAGTTAAGGAAGTCCTCACAGAACTGCTGTGCACTCAACCTTGTCCCTATGTCACAGGTCGTGGGCATCAGCTTGGAACTCAATACCTACAGCAAGGTCAATATCAAGTGCAACTCTTAAGAGTAATTTTCTTCAGATTACATTGGACGCTATACAAAGACTGTATTTCAAATTGTAGTAATTTGATTACAGTAGAAATACAAATTTGTCCAAATTTTGTACAAATACAAAGATATGCTGTTTCATATACGAAAAAATTTGTTTAAGTTACGACATTATAAGCATAACTTGACTTTAGCATTTTCAAAATATATCACGCTGAATCAACATAATTATGTAAAAGTAATTCATATGGTTTCATCTGGCAGATACCATCCTTCTTGGAGATTATACTCTTAAACTTTACCTCCAGATTATACAGCACCCTGAAGGCAGACATGTCCTGGGCACCGGAGTCGAACAGAACCTTAAGGACCTCCTTTGGCGGCAGTCGAGGACTGGACACAGGGGTGATAGTGGCTGTTGTCTTACGTGGACTGGCACGTGGACTGATGTCATCACCAGACCCCATCTGTTTGGACATCTGTAGAATATTTTAATCTAAATATTTTTTCCCTATAAATATTGCACTCCATATACCCTATAAATTAAACCCAGTTTCCCTTTTTCAGTGACATGTACATGTAGTCAGTTGTTTTTTTAAATTGAGAAAAATTCACAAATTACATTCAACTTTCCAATCTGAACCGGTAAAGGGGAAAAAATTCAACTTCCCAGCTAGCAGCCATTGCTTCACAACATAAGGATCAGCAATTATTTTCATATTGAGCTTTATTCAATGTATATCGTTTCATTTTTTTTAAAGTTCAATTCAGCAGTATTGTATCTCCAACTTCTACATGTTGCAATAAAACTAACCTTGTTGCTGATGGAGTCCAGGGACTCCGAAATGGCTGGGTCAGTTGGGATGAGCATCAACAGCTTCCGTACCCGCGAGGTGATTCTAAAAGTCAGTCAAGGATATCAGTAAAACAAACATATGGCAAAAAAACATAGTTACCAACAAAGCCCAGGAGTACAAGTAGTATGTTCCTTATAAACAGTTTTTTCTTGAAACACTGAACTGATTTTAATTGGTATTCATAGGAAATAAAAACATCAACTGGAAAAGACAAATTAATTTTGTAAGTTTCCAGATGGCATTCATATTGATAATGAATGCCAACTGCAAGCAGTTTATACATTTTTGGAATATTTGTATCTTTTCATCAAGTTGGTTATTATAATAATTATAAAATGGTTCACATAGTACAAAGATAGGTTAATTATGATTGTGTAACACTTCTATGACGAGCTATGTATAGTACAATGTGTACTTATTTGTCTCATGAAGGAGACAATGTACATATTGTTCCAGTCAGAATGCTACTTCAGAACATCGTCAACATGATGGTCATTTAGTTTAATGTTTCATGAGGAACAGACCCTTCACCATACCTTGGTTCCTCGAGGTCTGCAAGCTGGTAGAGCATTTCAAACACCTGACCACCCATAGCCATCACAACACCTGGTAACATCTTCTCCTGGGGGTAAGACAAGACATACTTCAGTGAAATATATTAAACTGTATAAAAAATAATCTAAACAGGATATCTGTTCTTATGATCTGAGTGCCTCCAACTGGATAACCTAAGCCTTTATTTCACTTTAATCCCAATGAGGAAAGTAGCTACCACACCATTATATATTACCACCATTTCACTGCCTAGAGGAAATACTCAACATAAATAAGAGATATGTTGTAGTAGCCATTGGCTCTAAAACTTTCTACTGGCTTTTGAAAAGTTGACTTTGAGACCAGATTATATTTTAACCCCCTCTCCCAATTATTTTTTTCACCCTTTAACAATAAGGCTAATTCCACACAGAGTGGGAATGTAAGACACAGGAATATGTAAAGTCTCAACAGCAAATTCAACAACTGTTGGATTTCCTTTCAAAGAATCAAGGGGAAATATAACTGGGAAAAAAGTCTTATGATTTAAGAAAGTCATGGTTCCTCCAAACTCGTATCACAAGCCAGCAGGCCCATGAAAACAGAGATTTATTTGATGCTTGAAATTAAATTTTTGATTGGATGATTTTTTGAACATCTTACAAATCAACATAGTGATGATAATAATAAACATCATACTTGTTCTAGGTCAAAGGTCTGCTTCGAAGTTGGTGTAGCTGGCGGCTGAAACAAAAAGAAGGAAATATTAGCATGTACAGTGCAGAGGATCATTGTTATTTAATTTCTCAACGTTAAAACAACAATAGTTTGCATAAAACAGCTGCATTTGAGGAGAAAAACTTAAATTTACAACTTTGAAATCTAAAGGCAATATTTCATTAAGTATGCAGGACATACAAAAATAACAAATAACATATGCAGGAGTTGAACAAAGACAAAGGCAAATTTTGACAACAATAACAACAATGATTGTTAATAACGTTGTATCCATTCCTTATGTGTTAATACTGATGTTTACCCAGAAACTCTGGTCATTCTGTGTACAACAAAACCGTGTTGGTCTGAAAGATTTGGTTTCCATGTACACTGAAACCTTGTTAGCATGGACACTGTGGTGTCTGTGTAGACTGAAACCTTGTTAGCATGGACACTGTTGTTTCTGTGAACATTGAAATCTTTTTAGTCTGGTCACTGTGGTGTCTGTGTAGACAGGAACCTTGTTAGTCTCACCACATTGACTCTAGTGTATATAGGAATCCTGTTTGTGTGGACACATTATAAAGTGTACATTGGACCCTTGTTAGTCTGGACACATTGACTTTAGTGTACATTGGACCCTTGTTAGTCTGGACACATTGACTTTAGTGTACATTGGACCCTTGTTAGTCTGAACATATTGACTTTAGTGTACATTAGACCCTTGTTAGTCTGGACAATTGACTTTATTGTACATTGGACCCTTGTTAGTCTGGACACATTGACTTTAGTGTACATTGGACCCTTGTTAGTCTGGACATATTGACTTTAGTGTACATTGGACCCTTGTTAGTCTGGACACATTGACTTTAGTGTACATTGGACCCTTGTTAGTCTGGACACATTGACTTTAGTGTACATTGGACCCTTGTTAGTCTGGACACATTGACTTTAGTGTACATTGGACCCTTGTTAGTCTGGACACATTGACTTTAGTGTACATTGGACCCTTGTTAGTCTGGACACATTGACTTTAGTGTACATTGGACCCTTGTTAGTCTGGACACATTGACTTTAGTGTACATTGGACCCTTGTTAGTCTGGACACATTGACTTTAGTGTACATTGGACCCTTGTTAGTCTGGACACATTGACTTTAGTGTACATTGGACCCTTGTTAGTCTGGACACATTGACTTTAGTGTACATTGGACCCTTGTTAGTCTGGACACATTGACTTTAGTGTACATTGGACCCTTGTTAGTCTGGACACATTGACTTTAGTGTACATTGGACCCTTGTTAGTCTGGACACATTGACTTTAGTGTACATTGGACCCTTGTTAGTCTGGACACATTGACTTTAGTGTACATTGGACCCTTGTTAGTCTGGACACATTGACTTTAGTGTACATTGGACCCTTGTTAGTCTGGACACATTGACTTTAGTGTACATTGGACCCTTGTTAGTCTGGACACATTGACTTTAGTGTACATTGGACCCTTGTTAGTCTGGACACATTGACTTTAGTGTACATTGGACCCTTGTTAGTCTGGACACATTGACTTTAGTGTACATTGGACCCTTGTTAGTCTGGACACATTGACTTTAGTGTACATTGGACCCTTGTTAGTCTGGACACATTGACTTTAGTGTACATTGGACCCTTGTTAGTCTGGACACATTGACTTTAGTGTACATTGGACCCTTGTTAGTCTGGACACATTGACTTTAGTGTACATTGGACCCTTGTTAGTCTGGACACATTGACTTTAGTGTACATTGGACCCTTGTTAGTCTGGACACATTGACTTTAGTGTACATTGGACCCTTGTTAGTCTGGACACATTGACTTTAGTGTACATTGGACCCTTGTTAGTCTGGACACATTGACTTTAGTGTACATTGGACCCTTGTTAGTCTGGACACATTGACTTTAGTGTACATTGGACCCTTGTTAGTCTGGACACATTGACTTTAGTGTACATTGGACCCTTGTTAGTCTGGACACATTGACTTTAGTGTACATTGGACCCTTGTTAGTCTGGACACATTGACTTTAGTGTACATTGGACCCTTGTTAGTCTGGACACATTGACTTTAGTGTACATTGGACCCTTGTTAGTCTGGACACATTGACTTTAGTGTACATTGGACCCTTGTTAGTCTGGACACATTGACTTTAGTGTACATTGGACCCTTGTTAGTCTGGACACATTGACTTTAGTGTACATTGGACCCTTGTTAGTCTGGACACATTGACTTTAGTGTACATTGGACCCTTGTTAGTCTGGACACATTGACTTTAGTGTACATTGGACCCTTGTTAGTCTGGACACATTGACTTTAGTGTACATTGGACCCTTGTTAGTCTGGACACATTGACTTTAGTGTACATTGGACCCTTGTTAGTCTGGACACATTGACTTTAGTGTACATTGGACCCTTGTTAGTCTGGACACATTGACTTTAGTGTACATTGGACCCTTGTTAGTCTGGACACATTGACTTTAGTGTACATTGGACCCTTGTTAGTCTGGACACATTGACTTTAGTGTACATTGGACCCTTGTTAGTCTGGACACATTGACTTTAGTGTACATTGGACCCTTGTTAGTCTGGACACATTGACTTTAGTGTACATTGGACCCTTGTTAGTCTGGACACATTGACTTTAGTGTACATTGGACCCTTGTTAGTCTGGACACATTGACTTTAGTGTACATTGGACCCTTGTTAGTCTGGACACATTGACTTTAGTGTACATTGGACCCTTGTTAGTCTGGACACATTGACTTTAGTGTACATTGGACCCTTGTTAGTCTGGACACATTGACTTTAGTGTACATTGGACCCTTGTTAGTCTGGACACATTGACTTTAGTGTACATTGGACCCTTGTTAGTCTGGACACATTGACTTTAGTGTACATTGGACCCTTGTTAGTCTGGACACATTGACTTTAGTGTACATTGGACCCTTGTTAGTCTGGACACATTGACTTTAGTGTACATTGGACCCTTGTTAGTCTGGACACATTGACTTTAGTGTACATTGGACCCTTGTTAGTCTGGACACATTGACTTTAGTGTACATTGGACCCTTGTTAGTCTGGACACATTGACTTTAGTGTACATTGGACCCTTGTTAGTCTGGACACATTGACTTTAGTGTACATTGGACCCTTGTTAGTCTGGACACATTGACTTTAGTGTACATTGGACCCTTGTTAGTCTGGACACATTGACTTTAGTGTACATTGGACCCTTGTTAGTCTGGACACATTGACTTTAGTGTACATTGGACCCTTGTTAGTCTGGACACATTGACTTTAGTGTACATTGGACCCTTGTTAGTCTGGACACATTGACTTTAGTGTACATTGGACCCTTGTTAGTCTGGACACATTGACTTTAGTGTACATTGGACCCTTGTTAGTCTGGACACATTGACTTTAGTGTACATTGGACCCTTGTTAGTCTGGACACATTGACTTTAGTGTACATTGGACCCTTGTTAGTCTGGACACATTGACTTTAGTGTACATTGGACCCTTGTTAGTCTGGACACATTGACTTTAGTGTACATTGGACCCTTGTTAGTCTGGACATATTGACTTTAGTGTACATTGGACCCTTGTTAATCTGGACACATTGACTTTATTGTACATTGAACCCTTGTTAGTCTGGACATATTGACTTTAGTGTACATTGGACCCTTGTTAATCTGGACACATTGACTTTATTGTACATTGAACCCTTGTTAGTGTGGACACATTGACTTTAGTGTACATTGGACCCTTGTTGGTCTGTACACCATGATTTCTGTTCCGGTGAATCTTGTTAATGTTACTGTATAAAGTCATATGCGAGGTTGTAAATCTCATCTAATATTGTATAACATGAAATATTGTGGCGTTTTTTAACTGTTTTATGTTTATAAAGCTTAGGTTGCTACAATATCGTGCGACCAGCTGGTATAATTGAATTTTTGCTCATTTATTCACTGCAGTACATAAATAATATAATATTAATACAATATACAGAGCTTCACATTATACAATTCTGAAGAAAGGATATACATACATGCCATATATATCTATAAACTAAAAATAAATTACAGGGCATCACTCAACAGAATTAGAACAACCTAAACTCAGCCATCTACTATTTCTAAGCCAAGTTAAAGAAATTGTGTGTAAAAAGCAAGAATACAGTATGCATAATTGATAATTTTTGAATGCAGGATTACTGTAAGCAGAAATAGTTTACATGCAGTTGAACAATGATTGAACAAGATCAATGTGAATTATTTTCAAAAGGAAATTGCTATAATGATTTTACAATGTATAAACAAACAAACAAAAATCAGTAACTGTTTTCAAGAAATAGAACTCAACAGGCAATGGAATGGCTGACATCTCTAATGTTAAAGGCTGGTGTTGCTACATTACTAGTGTTCATTAGTGCTGTGTATAAATCTGGAAACTTTTTCTAAGTGATATCCCAGAAGTAATTAAAGATATGCTATCAATCATAATTCAAATATTCTATGAAGACATAAACGGTGTTCTTATCTATGAATAGTACAAAAGTTTGTGACACATTTTCAAAGTGAAAGTAAGGCCAATAAATCTGTTTTCACCAAAATGAGGTCTGCATACCTTGTGAATGTAGTTTACAGATGAATGACTGTGATAAATATTTGTTATAGACATGCAAAACAGTACTTATATGTATAATACTGACTGTATACCGTTTACCCAGAACACACGACAACTGCATGCTAACAACACAAGTCATGAGTCAAACATTTTGACAATACATAACTCTCAAATTTCTTTTTTGGAAGCAAATTCAGGACCTATTCTGTTCTACTTTTTGTAGCCTTAAAAAAAAAGAACATTCTTCCAATAGCAAATAGTTTGCAATTATCCCACTTTTAGAAACAAAAATCTTTCTCGTTGGAAACAATATGCTTGGCCTTTATTCAAAAACTTACTAATACCATTCAACAAATACACACACACAAAAATTGAAAGGCTAGGTAGGGACAATTTTTGCAAACTTAAAAAGAAGTTGGAAATATTTTATACATAAATGGGTTTTTTCAAAAAGTATCATTTCGTCCAACTTAATATTTTTCACCTTGATTTTAACATGGAAAGTACAGTTACTTATAAAAAAAAATACCACTACTGTTATCTGTTATAATCATGAAAAAGGTGAATTTACCAGATCTGTAATGATGGTAAGTTTCTATCTCAGAGACACAGAACACTAAGAGCCATACTAAATAGATGATGACAGAATTGTGCTGACTAAACAAGATTGTGGAAATACAGATGAAGCAATAAATGCTATATATGATATGAACACAGATAGGGCAGGCAAATTACCTCATCTATTCTTAGGCTTTCTTGAATCTGGTTAATGAAAAAATATAAACAAAAGACGGCTGAGATAGTGACATAAAGACATCCCAGTATATAACATCAGTCTGTGTCATTCCTGAGTGACATATTGTGTAAAGAGAACAATCAATTGATGTAGATACAGAAAAATTGTTTTACAAAAAGCGCATTCTCTATATCGAAGGCATGCATGTTCCATAGTCAGACCATAACAACACTTAGTGGAGGAGCAGGAGAAATAAAGAAGCTCACTTGATTCCTACACCACAACTTAAAACAATAGCTCACACTTTCTCCAATGTTCAGGTACCATGAATGACCTTCACCAGTGGCAGATTTAGAGAGGGCCTGAGGATTGTCTTTTAACAGGTCAATTGGCTATTATTCCCTTGTTGTTTTTTTTGCTGTATACTAAGGTCAACTATAATAAAGGTTCAAATTTCCCTCGTGATCAGTATAAAGCATCAATCATAGTCTGACTTTAGCCAACTAACAAGGGTACCGCGCAAGTGGAACATAACACGCCAGTCTTACATTGTATGAGCAGTTTACCGTAAGGTTGTACATAAAGGGCAATAACTGCATGAATTACCGTCCGATAGTTGAGTTATCGAACTTGTCTGAGCTTTTATGGTAATAAACCTTCCTATGAAGTTTGAAGTTGATCCATCGAAAACATTTTGGCAATAGAATAAAGGGCCATAACTCTGTAATTTACAGTTCCATAATTACGGTTAAAGAACTGGTCCGGGCTATTATGGTAATAAACCTTCCTATGAAGTTTGAAGTAAATCCATAGAATACTACTCAGATATCGAGTGGACACTGTTTCGGCAATTGAAGAAAGGGCCGTAACTCTGTAAATTACGGTCCGATAATTGCAGTTATCAAACTTGTTCGAGCTATCATGACAATGAACCTTCCTATGAAGTTAATCCACTGAAAACTACTCAAGATATGGTCTGGACACCATTCACACCCGCCCACCCACACGCCAGCCCACCCA